TCCCCCGAAAAGATTTACCAGCTGTATGCTGCTCTCCAAGTGCCCTGCTGTAGTCCTGGCTGCATGTATGTGGCATTTATTGGTGACATTAATTGGCTACAGCTGCCAAAAATAGCTGATAGCCGATAATGTTAACTTTCCTTTTACTGGTGCCAATCTGATATGCAACAATGGATCTGTCGCTGCTCCTCTAAAGCGGGCCCACAACTTTGATTTTGCCTGGGGCCCCAATAATCTTAATCCGCCTCCTAATGCCTCTTTCTCTGGACTGGGGTTTCCTCCCTGCTGATGAATATAATTTCCAGGTGGAATAAAAAGGCCAGACTGCCATGCTGGGCCTGGGAACAGCAGGTGATCAGCATGTCTGGAAATCAGGCCTTAACGGGCTCTCCAGCATTTGATAGGAAAAGCGCATGGTATATGCATCACAGTCCTCAAAGATTCTTCTTTCAGCATGGCCAGCAGCACTCTCTCTGCTGCTCTACACACAACGCTACATCTGACGGGTGACAGACTGGGTCCAGCATGGCAGCACGAGGCACCAGCAGCAGCACAAGGGAGAAAGGTGGGCATGTTTTTAAGGAAGTTGACATATGAAGAAGACAAACAAGGGGACAAAACAGCTTTCTTGAGCTGCCGAGGAAGAGGAGGAGCTGGAGGTGGCTCTACTTTTAGTTGAGTGAATGAGGTCCAGCCCTTGGAGGAATTACTGTGTGCACAGCCACCGGCCTTCCTGCACACGGGCAGGGCCATGCAATTCCCAGGAGCCTCAGGGGAGAGCCAGAAATAGTCAGGATGTGTTTTTCCTTGGGTCTCAGGCTAAAAGCTCATGATGATTCGCTGGGGGAGGGGGCGCGGGGAATGGAGGAGAAACAGTTGGAGGCATTTTAGATCATCCAGGAAAATGCTATTCAGCTTCATTCCCATGGCCTAATAGCACAGATCCTTCACATTTCAGCTGACAGCCCATCGTTCAGGATATTAATTCGCTGTCTGGTTATTTGACAGGTTATTATTTAATCAAATGGCAGCGTTTTATTGTGTTTCATTATAAGCACACTGTGAAACAAACACCACCCTTATTCTAATGCATTTTTGTTTGCCTAAAAGGAACTAGTTAGCCATTAGCCTTGGAGAGATTCCATAGCAATTCAGATCATGCACAATGAGACAAGTTAATCACTAGCACCAATTACCATTAAAAGGACCTACCATGCATGCAAATTAGACCCAGGAGTCAACAGGCTGGGGTTTAATGTCACGGGCATCCACCAGATTCACCGAAGCCCTGTTACTCCTGTTAATGTTTTTCCTATTTGTGTCATTCTGCAGCAAACAGGGTGAGGAGTTAAAGGCAAAACAGAGCGGATTAATCAAACAAACAAACAAACAAACAAACAAACAAACAAACAAACAAACAAACAAACAAACAAACAAACAAACAAACAAACAAACAAACAAACAAACAAACAAACAAACAAACAAACAAACAAACAAACAAACAAACAAACAAACAAACAAACAAACAAACAAACAAACAAACAAACAAACAAACAAACAAACCAACCAGTCAGCTCAAAAGATTGCGAGGAAGAATTAGTGGACAGAGAAAGAAACAAATTCAGCCAAGGCGTGCTGCTCCACCGGCGCTGGCAGAAGCATTCACTAGCTCCAGGTCAGCCATGCGTCACACTTCATTGCCATCATTTTTCACACGTCTTAGCCAGTCTCGCAGCTCAGAGCCACGGTTCCTGGATGGTTCACAAGCTAGAAATCGGCACGCACATCTGACAGGACACTGCCTGCCTACACTTTGCCCAGCACCAAGGGCTGCTTTGACAACATGCCAGAAGCCTCAGGGCAGCTCCTCAGCGGGCTAGAAAAGACTGAATCTGGCCTGTCCTCCCTCTTTAGTAGGGAGGAGGCATAGCCGGCGGAGGAGACAAGGCTTTCTCATCACGATGGAGCACGGCTTATTGGAATCGCTCGTCTCTGAGGGTTGCACTTCACTCTTGAGAGACACGACGGCAGCCCTGGGCTGCACTGCACAGCTCTGTGGGCTAAGTTTGGCTGCTGCCGCGTAGGATGGAGAAGTGATAACCATCTGTTAATTCTCTCTCCCCCTGGCTAGCCTAATTGGCAGGTGGGTAATGAGTAATTACCCACCTGCCAACTTTCTTCAGAAAGAAGTGTTTTCTCTTAGCTCTGACCAAACAGCCCCCTACTGCCTGCAGCCACCTTCTTTAGGGAGCCTTGGCCACAGCGGACGGGTAGATGCAGAGAGGCGTATGCCATTATGTCAGGGTCAGGCATGGCCACCTCTCAACACCTCCAAACATGACTGGGGTGATCTGGGTTAGCTGCATATTTCCAAAGTGCAAAGTCACGATTAAAAGCCCAATTCCCATTAGTGACAGTCAGAGCTAACCAAGTACTTTAGAAATATAAGCCTTAAATTATATGAAGTGAATTGCTCCTCAGCACTTACGCTAAAAGTCTCCCAGTCTGATCAGGGCTATGCAGGTCATTGGGAAGTACAGAGGTGAAAAACAACACAAAGGAGCACTGACTGCATTTGCGGGCAAAGGTGAGAGCAACCAGAGGTTGTTTCCCCTCCATCTGTACTATGGACTGTAAAAGCATTAATATAATTAGCATTTTACAGGGGCAGACCAAAAGGTGATTACTGTCAAATTCCATTATACATGGTACCACGGGGGCAGGGTTAGAAAACGAATCGTACACAGAGCTAGCTTCCAACAACAATGGCTGTTCTCTTGTGGTCTGGCTTTAAGGGTCGCCAAGGTCTCCTAATCCATCCACAGCCATAATCTTCACCCATTTGCAGTGCCAGACAATGGAAGGTCATGTTGAAATAAGAGTGGAGGCTTGGCGAACGCCACAGATAAAGAAGTCCGTGTTTTTCCTCAGTGACACTGCAGCCGTATGGCTCAAGACTCCGATTTGCACCGGGCCCGCTCATGAAACAGTAAGGAAGTAGGATTTGGCACTGTGGGGTTATCACCCAACAATGGATTATATTAATGAGGTTGCCAAAAGAGAAGCTTCTGACAAGAGCCTTAATAGAGCCTTGAAACTGAAAAGCAGGAATAAGCAGTGTTAAAAAAAAAGCCTGAGGACTGCAGCCGTCATCCATTTTGAACATCCTGGGAAAAAGGCAGGCGGTGCTGGGAATTGTTTAATCCTGACTATTTGTGCTCAGACTCTAATACAGACAGGCCATGGGCAGAAGAATGTCCTATTGCCTCAATAGGATTTCTCTCTAAGTCTCATTTCTATGTGCCATTACTCTGCATCTCACTAATTGCAAAGAGCCTTTCCTTTTCAAGTGCCTGGCCACTGAACACAATTCATTTGAATTTTTAGTGCTGTCACAAAACACTTTGAGGTTTCCCTGTAGACGCTCCAGGCTCCCCAGCATTGACGGTACTAGTGTCAACTTACTGAAAGCCAACAACAAGGATCCTTGTCACAAACTCGTTTCATCGTGTCTGGTTTTTCCTAGTGATGACAGACCCAGGAGAGACTGCATGAGAGGTTGTTTTTTTTCTTTTTGAGGGAGGGAAAAAGCAATGAGCCATTGTACTATTGGGAGTACAAAGCAGCTGCTTATCAAAACTTAGCTAAAACTGTCCATGAATACAAGAAAAATTGCATGGAACAAATCAAACCAGACTTGTACACAGCTTGCTGTGCCCAACCTACTACAAGACCATTTCAGGCTGGACATAAGGAAGAATTTCTTTACTGTCCGAGCCCCCAAGGTCTGGAACAGCCTGCCATTGGAGGTGGTTCAAGCACCTACATTGAACACCTTCAAGAGCAAACTGGATGCTTATCTTGCTGGGATCCAATGACCCCAGCTGACTTCCTGCCCTTTAGGCAGGGATGCTGGACTCGATGATCTTCCAAGGTCCCTTCCAGCCCTAATGTCTATGAAATCCATGAAAACCTAATGCCTATGATGGAAAGAGAAGGGGGAGATCCCTCAGATACGGTTTTTCAATCAGAAAGAGGCTGGAAGGAGGAGTGTTGAAAATTTGATTAAAAGAAGCACACATGGATGTATGTGTGTGCACACATGTCCTTGGTCCATATCTACTGGATGACTATGGACTGAACAATGGGAAAATATATACTGTACACCACAGGTTTTTCACAGACATGCAAGCTTTCACTTGCTTCTCACCATGAAAACCATAAAGGTGTGTAACTGCTTGAAGTCACTAGTCTCGGAACAAAGTCTCCTGCGTTGCTATACGTGTTAGGACTGAGGACTGTGACTAGATGCAGGAACTGAAAGCAATAATGCAAATAATTCTGTTTCAAAACTGCATATAAGCATTTGAGCACATATTTGTCTATAAAATCATCACCTGTAGTTGCTTCCTTATGGGAAAGGAACAGTTGTTTTTCACTGAAAGCTGGTTGGTGATGGGTTAGGAAATCTTATACAGTCCTTTACAACCCCTTGCTGAGCACTTGTAACATGCATTTTCTTTGCAGCATATGCTGGGCCTCCTAGCTTGTGGCACCAGCTGGCTTTGGGAATAAGCTGGCTGCTTACTTTTAAAGGTTCTTTCTCTGATGCGTCCCCAACATTATCACTGGTCTTGTACTTGCGCTCTTTGTCCCGGTGGTCGATGGTGGAGTAGCCATCTGGGGAGGAATGACATGGCAGTCAGACAACAGCAACACTAATGGCAATAACCTTTGCAGAGCAGAAACACAAGTCATCAAAACCAAAACATGGGGGGGAGGGGGGGTGTATTCAGTGTGGGCTGTGGCCCTGAAACTTTATTTGTACCAGCTTCCCTGAAAATATTAACTCCATTTTCTAATAGCACATCAACATCAAGGACTGGTCCTGCATTAACAAGCAGCACTGTTTTCTTTCTGGTCTGCTGCAGTTCAGTAGTAGCCTGCCCAAGGAAAGCAGCAAGTTACTTCACACCCTGTAGCTGACAAGTTCCAAATCCAGAGAACAATCTTATGTTTTTAGCTTAGTGACTTGATTAATTGGCTGTGTTCATACTCTGGAGGGTGTGAAACACGTTCCCACTCTTTCTGAACTTGACTACAAGCAAGACATGACAATAATTTAGAAAAAGTCCCCTTTGGAGCTGTGAGGAAAAGGGGCTGGTAGAGCTGTGGATCTTGAAGCAAACCCTGCGGTGCTAGGCTTGCCTCTCGTTACAAAGCGGCGCCTTTTGGTGATTTTTCTCCTTGGCAATTGAGCAGCAAGATGAATTCAGTATTTAAGACAGAAAGAAGGTTGGGGAGGGCTTTCCAAAGAAACATTTTAATTATTTCAGAACCTGCCTGACACCAAATAATCATCAGGGGTTGCAAATATTAATTTGTTTTCCTGATGCATCAAGTTTCTGTCATTATCAGTGACAAATAGGTCTTCCTTCCAACTTCGACAGCATTGTAATCTGGATCAAGCAGCAGTCAGATTTATGGGCTTTTGTCTCTCTCCAGGTAATTAAGGTATCATTATTGGTTTTACTTCCTGTCAAACCATCTTCTCTGAACTCCACAAAAAGATTTTTTACAGAAAGCGCCAGATCTCATCTCTCAGCTTCTTGCTTCTATACAAGAAGGTCTCTAAAGACGAATCAGTCAGTAGAGCTTTCTTTTTGTGGCAATACAGAAAACGAGCCATTCTAAGCAAACAGCATGAAAAGCGAGACAAACCAAGTGACCTGCACCATGTATGTTCTGCACAGCAGTGGCCTTCAAAAAGGGTGGGAAGGGTGCAATCCAGTAAGTTCACAAGACAACCTAAGTCTTCATATTTGGCATGGGAGATCAAAACATGCCTGGGCCTGGCAAAAGGCTTTTGAGATGGTCCATATGGTTACGAAGAGAATATAACATCAAGGAGAGAATCCATAATGATGGTGATGGAAATGACTGAAATTGTACATCAAGGTTATGGATATAGTCGTAGCTTGAGACCTACTGCTATATACAGCTTAGCTTCTCTACTCCCAGCTATTTGTTGACAATGAAGATATCTATCATTCCTGACTGTCCCAGTAAGACCAAAAAATAAACTGCAGACACAGACTCTCCACCCAGTCAACATTCCTGATGGCGTGTACAGTACATCTTTCACTTCCAAATTACGCTCAAATATACTTGCCGGTAAATCATATGCTGACATTAAGACTTTATCATTCCTTTGGGACTCAAAGGCATGAACAGCTATGCAGTTAAGTGATGATAAAAGCAGGCTGCCCAGCAAAAAGTCAAATCCCAATGTCAACTAAGCAACATCCATTTCCTTTTAAAAATGACTCATTTAATTTACATTTGCATAAAATAGTACATGCAGATATGTGTATTGCCTTTCACCAGGAATGATCCCAAAGCACTTTAGAAACAAACTAACACAGAAAGGGAAGCTTATGCCTGGCCCTGAAATGCAACAAGCATTGAAGAGCTGTGCACCAACTCTAACGCTTCACAGCAGCACAGATCAGGAGGCAAAGAACATCACCGCAAGCAACTGGAGACACAGCGATCATTTTAAATAGCTTTAACCACTGCTTACTCACCAACTTAGCAAACCTAATATTGAGCAAAGTTCCAGGAATCTTGAGTGATAAAAAACCCCAAGAACTTGGTTTTCATATCTAAGCCAGGAGGTATTTTGCAACTCCTGCCATCTCCCTCAGCATGATGTGGTCTGCATGCTAATGGTGCCACACATGTCAGCGTTAGTGGATTGTGTGCTGCTAGACACCTTACACTGCGCTGAGCTGGTATCAAGCAAGGGCAGACTGATAGGAAGTTTCTGGCTTGAGTCACTAAAATAAGACAAATATTCTGAAGGAGGCTGTACCAGCAAAGTAAGACCTCATTAGCCAGAAGGCAATGGCTTTCTGATGGAATTTGCAAATCTGGGTCTCTTCCTGTTTCCCGTTTAATTCTAAAAATCCAATTTAATCCCTGAGAAGGAATCTGAAGTGTGCCTTAGGGCTTGTTTTTGCAAGCAAGGTAATTCAGATTAAGGCAGGATGTAAACTTAAAACCCAGTAACTATTCCCAAGTCATGCCCTAGATGAGCCCTCTTACTTCAGAATAAAAGCATTTTGTTCCAACCTAATTCAATACACTTTGGAATACACCGAGTCTTCTTGTTTCATTGCTAATCCAGCTTGCTTTATTTCTTTGCACCTTATTACTTCCTCCCTCATGACATATATAGCTTTCTTGACTGCTTCTCACTCCCTCTGTAGTGAGATTGCTTTACCTCCACGTATTAAGCACCTGAGAGGCCCTCCACCATCACCGTGCATGTCCCCATTTCCCTTATCAAATTCAGCTTGTGCATCAATTGCTCTCATCTTTTTCTTGGACATAAATTCTTTCCTTAAAGCAGGTTATTATCACATCCACATGCAGTACTTTCATAGCCTTTAGCAGTCAACATTGACTCTGCCTTTAATGGATGACAAGGTAGCCAATCTGGTTCCTGCCTAGACCCCCTGGTGAAACCCATGTAAAACTGAACATGTCCTTGTTCAGAGGACCAGGCTCTGCACGTGGGCCAATATTACTCATTTGGCTTCCACGTTCACGTCCAAACTTTGTGATCAGCTTTCTCACTGTCAAAATGACACTATAACCCAGAACCTTGTCTATAATGCCATCTAACTGAGGATAAAGCTTGTCCTTCTTTCCCCATTTATTGATGATCACAGTTATACAAGGTTTCCTGTAGGCAGTAGTAAATCTTGCTGTGACAACCTGCCCAGACATTGTCTCACCGAGGTAAACTGTGTGCTTACTATAGCAATCCCACCCTTATGCTTCAGAGCAAAAAAAAAAAAAAAAGAGTATAAT